TCCTATCAGAGTTTGCTACCTATTGTAGACAGAACTCTCTTTTTGTTAATTTCGATAAGATATAATATTGGTCTTTTCTAAATCCAGGAAGCGCTTTCGTTGGAGAATAGAGGGCAGAGAAATTGAACAGGTTAAAACATTTAGATACCTTGGAATTTTGTTCCAGTACAATTTAAAATGGTCCTCTCACTGGGAGCATTCCCTTATTTTGGCCAGAAATAAGATCGCAGCTATAATGTGTTACTTTTACCAAAGAGGTAATCAGTTTGTTCCAGCCGCTCTCCGAATTTTTCAGGCTACAGCCATCTCTCACCTGTTATATGGGATTCCTGTGTAGATACAGGGTTTTTCTAAAGAGGTTGAACGTATTAACACCTTATTTCTGCGCAGGATACTTGGGCTACCTAATTCTGTTGCGTATTTTACTCTCTGTGCTGAGTTGGGTTTACACCTTATTGAAACAAAGTCGTGGTCTATTGTTATTAAGTTTTGGCTTCGTCTTCATTTTAGCCCCCCTGTTAACAGTCTTATTGCTCTCCTCCCTGCGGACCCTTACACCTCAAATTGGTCCCAATTCATAGTATCTAAAATCAAATCCATTGGTATTGATCTGGATTTTTTGGCCAATTCTGGTGAAATGGATATTCTTCGGATTTTCCAAAGGAGGATTTGGGACACTGAAGCTCAAGTTATTAACACGGGTAGCTCTGGAGTCTGTTCTCCACATTTTCTTGGTCTTTTCCCTGTACAAGATTCTATGGCCCAGTACTTTTCTAATTTGATAAACCCCTCACACCGTAGAGTTTTCATGCTTGCCAGGTTCAATCTCTTCCCTTCGGCTGTTTTGACAGGCAGATATGATGGTATTCTTTATAAAGAAAGAGTCTGTACCTGTCTTTACAATGAACCTGACTCTGTGCAACAATTTTTTTCACTGCTCTCATTACTTTTTGCTACGTCATTCTTTGATCCACCCCCTCCTTTCCTCTGCAAAATCTAAGATCAATAATGACCTTGGTTTTTTGTTATCTGACAAATCTGCTGAAATTACTGCAGTTGTCGCTGAGTATCTACTACTTGTATGGAAGTTAAGGGTTAGAAGCTGTAATATTTAGATTTACCTTTTTTCCCCTCTCTTTTTTATTAATCCCAAATGGGTTCTGTTTGGTGGAGACTTTTAGTATGTGCATATATATTGATGTCTAGGTTTTTGAATTGTATATTATGCCATCAAAGGGTTCTCTCTCTCTCTAAAAACTGTGCTCTGTATTTTCCATTTACAGAGCCACACTACGCAAGCTGCGCCCAGAAGACATGTTTGAGACCTGGGTAAGTGCAGTAAACTGGGATGTGGTACGGTATGGTGTGGTATAGCCTGATCTTGTCCGATCTCAGAAGCTAAGCGATGTCGGTACTTGGAAGGTAGACCTCCCAGGAAGCCTCTGCAGAGGAGGGCAATGGCAAACCTTGAAAGACCCTTGCTGGGGTCACCATAAGTTGGTTGCAGCTTCACGGCACATGCATGCATCAGTGCAGCAAGGTGGGGAAGTTTGACCTTTCAGGAAATGTCCTAATACGAGAAGTATCTCAGCTGGCTACTGATGACGCGTGGGTGGCAATATATGAACATGGCCTGGAATTACAACCGATCTCCGGATAACAGTGCAGTGGCAATAGGAAAGACAAATGCCATGGCGGAGAGTATTAGGAAGGGGACTGAAAACAAATCAGCCAGTATCATAAGGGCCCCGTATAAATCAATAATGTAGTCTTATTTGGAATATTGTGTACAGTTCTGTGAAATTAAACCAAGAAGAGTTTTTGGCTAAACATTAGGAAGGACTTCCTGACAGAGTGGTTCCTCAATGGAACAGTCTTCCTCGAGAGATGGTGGGCTCTCCTTCTTTGTAGGTTTTCAAACAGAGGCTAGATGGCCATCTGACAACAATGCTGATTCTGTGAACTTAGGCAGATCATGAGAGGGAGGGCAGAAAGGGTTGCATCAGTGCTTAGTTCTTGTGGCCCTTTCTTACACACCCAGGGAAATGCCGATCACCACTTTGGGGTTAGGAAACAATTTTTCTCCAGGCCAGTTTTGCTGGAGACCCTGGAGGTTTTTTGTCATCTTATGGGTGTGGAACAGCAGTCACTGGGTGTGTGTGTGTGGGGGGGAGGTATTTCTAAATTTCCTGCACTGTACAAGGGGTTTGACTAGATGACCCTGGAGGTCCCTTTCAACTCTATTATTCTATGATTCTATGAAAGGTAGGTGTAATTTATTTCACTTCCTCCTTCCTGATGCAGACCCCTGATTTCCCCCTCATACTATTCAGTAAGGTTCCCAGTTCCCAAGAAGCAGCAGTGGGAGGAGGGGAGGCAGGAAAGTTATTTTCTGCTGTTCAAAGTGTCTTCCATTATTAGAAAATGTATATCCAATCCAATCGCTCTATCCTATTACTATTCTTATGTCACATCTTTCCCTGACTTCGCACTCCCCCAGCAACCTCATGTAAGCTGTGGGGCCCACTCACACACACACAAAAATCCAGGTGAGAAGGCTGCAGAGAGGAAGGAAATAATGCATGATGGCCCCTCCTACCTCAGTGGAATGGTGGTAGAATACAGCCCATAGTTAGGGCCTTTCAACTTTCAAATATATACGATTGCATAAACTTTGGTCATATGTAAAAATTTAGTCATTCTCATAAGCTCCAAACTTCCAAGATTCTTTTCTAAAACTGTGCAGAATTCTTCTTCAAAACTATGGAGACAGGCTTATCTCTATTGTAGTGACTTTGTATAAGCATATCAGCTGGTCTTGCAGTAGAAGTAGTTCCATTACTGTGTTGCAATGTAGTGTTAGTTTTGAATCTTTGCAGGGAAATTATGCCTATTAGTTCACACAGACCAGTCAATAGGCTTCTTTCCTCCTGACTAGGGTTGCCAGCCTACAGGTGGAAGAAGGGGAACCCCCGATTTCACAGGCTCCTGCATGCTGTTGGCCAGATGGCAGGCGAGGGGAAGCCCCACCCCCAACTGCCATGAGCAGGCACGATGTCTCCAGCATGAAGATGCAAACGAATGTGACATCATCACGCTAGGGAGATTGCACAGCAACACTCTGTTATTTTGGGCAAAACTCTATAGTAACATTAGTATGGTAACCACATGGAAGTGACGTCATCATTTTGGGGATGTCACATGTGGTGACATCACCCCGGGCCCCCCACTCCCAGAAAGCTCCCTCCTACCCCCACTGGTGAGAGCACAGGACCTGGTAACCCTACTCCTGACAAAGTGTCTTAGTGCTTCTAAGTCAGAGATCACTAGAGGGAAATTGTGAATATGTCCAATAGGAAATGGCCCCTATATGAATATAATTAGGAGAGCAGAATCTTCTAGTGCCCAGAACCTTCTCATGACTTAACACACATGTACTTCCTATAAAAAGCTACAATTTCTCAATATATAAATATATGTATGAACTGTAACGGCCTTTACATGTACATTATTTGAAAGGCCTGGTTCGTTAAGATAATGATTAAAATTATAACTTTCAAATATATATGGTTGCATAAACTTTGGTCATATGTAAAAATTTAGTCACCCTTTATACTATAATGAAATCAGTTTAATTCAATATCTAGTGCCAAGGTGGAGATACTAAAATTTACATGGAATAATGCTCTATAAGTGTTTTATCAAAAATTAAATCTTCCTTTTGTAATTTAATAATTATAGGTCTAGAAATTATGTAACTGAAAACAGAAATTCTTTCTCTTCTTTGTATGATTATTTATTTATTTATTTATTGGGTTTCTATCCCGCCCTCCCCGCAGATGTTGGAAAAATTCTTTTTATATGTAATTTTATTTATTACATTTATACCCCGCCCTACCCCAAAAAATGGGCTCAGGGCAGCTTACAACATAAGATCAACAAGCAATAAAAACATAAAACAATTTTCTATAATAATAATAATATTTAAAAACACGTAAGTGAATGAGAGTTTAATTCTGTTGAAATAAATTAGTGGACAAACAGATCCACAGCATATCAGGCACAGTTCTTGGGATGTGCTAAAATTAGTAAGTCAACAGTTTTCAGTGCTTTCAGATTTTTTCCTCAGATTTTTACACTTAAACATTATAAAAGAAGAACATGCTATATTGTCTTTAAATGTTTAAATATTGTTCCAATAAAAATAATTTTACATACAGTTTTGAATTTGTTTGAAAGTAACATTTCTACACTTCAAACATGGTTGCCATCTGGATATAAAATCAACACACTATACTTTTAACATTTGTTTAGATCATGTTCTATTTGAGGCACTGAATTCCAGAAAATTTTCTCATCCTATTTCTTCCAACAAACCTGTGTAACTGATTTTAGCTCAACAATTTTTCAGTGGTATCAGGAGCTTCATATCTAGAACAGTCCCATTATTTATAGTTTTCAAAAGCAACTTGGACACAAACAAAAGACAATATCAGGATATACCCTATTCATAGAACGCTATCCCCCCAAAGTCAGAATGAAATACCAAAGAAAATGCAAAAACATAAAATAGCAGTTTCAGTTATGTAGATAAGGCTTTGAAAGCTTATAGTACAGGGTTCCCAACCTTTTTGATCATCTGGGCACCTCTGGAATTCTGACAGAGGGTGGTGGGCACAGCCACAAAATGGCTGCTGCAGGAGTTGGAGTCACATAGAGAAACATGAGGGCAGCAGTGAAGAGAAGTAAAATACATTGGGAAAGAGGAGTGAGAGAGAATAAAACCCATACTGTGGTGGCAGCTGCTACTGAAACAATTTTATTTTGATCTGCATAACCAATTGGATCTCCAGTGGCCAATCACAAGCTCTGCTGGGCAAGAGCGCTACCTGGCCCCACTCACTTTATAAGAACATTTGGTGGGTGCCATGTTGGGGACTCCTGTTACAGAAGAACAAAGTACAACCAGTGAGAAAATTGCAAGGGTCATGTTGGCTTACATTAAGAAATATATCATATCCATGTAATGATAATAACTGGCACGATATATGCAGGAGTGGAGTCATCATACAGGAAAGCATCACATTTCAAATGTACATCCTGAGACAAAATAAAGCAGAAGTACAATGTCACTGTAAAAACTATTAACATCTATTCCAGCATGAGCTTTTGTGAGTCAGAGCTCACTACTTCACACACATACAACCTATTAAGACAGCAGAAGGAAGTAGATTAATTCTGGACATACTATGAGACCACAAATTATGTTTACAGATCTGTTAGAGCAGCAGTTCTCAACCTGTGGGTCGCGACCCCTTTGGGGGTCGAACGACCCTTTCACAGGGTTCGCCTAAGACCATCGGAAAACACAAATTTTTGATGGTCTTATTGTTTTTGTGATTAATCACTATGCTTTGTGTTCAATTTGTAACAATGAAAATACATCCTGCATATCAGATATTTACATTACAATTCATAACAGTAGCAAAATTACATTTATGAAGTAGCAACGAAAATAATTTTATGGTTGGGGGTCACCACAACATGAGGAACTGTATTAAAAGGTTGCAGCATTAAGAAGGTTGAGAACCACTGTGTTAGAGCCTCCTCCTGATAATGAAGCTCAAGACAATGGATCCACCTGGATTGAATCGAGAGCTAGGTTTCCTATCTCATTACCAATGCTGATTTCTCCATGCCTATTACCCCTCTCCATATCTCACCTAAATCCAATCACACCTGCTATTGTCATTCACCTGCTATTGTCATTTGCCTGCTAATGTTATTCGGCATTTGAAATAACTCCAGTTTCCAATAAATAGGACAGATGGACTCCCATTCTAGTTTATCTGAAGAAGTGAGCAGTGACTCACAAAAGCTCATACCCTGCCACATATTTGTTAGTCTTGAAGGTGCTACTGGACTCTTGGTCTTTTCTACAGCCTCCTCCAGTAATTTCAAATTCTCATTGACCTGGTTCCTAAGAATCATGAACAAACTTCAGCTCATGAAACAATGCTTTTCTGCTGCTTCTTCCTTACTGTAGCACCTGCACTCTTTTAAAAGCTGCTTCTGAGGGCAGTGGCAAGCCTTTGGAATGTGTCGGGATACAGTACAAGGGCTGCAGATGGAGGAGAAATTGGCAGAAGCCAGACATCCCTCTTCTGCTCTCACAAGAATCTGTTTGACTCACAGGTGTTATTTATGGTCCTTCCTACATTTGTGTGTCATGGCATGCCCAGTTTAAAGGCAGTGGAGAGAGATGCCTGCATTGCTCCATTTTGCTCTTAGCTTAGATTCCAAGAAAAGATTGCAGAAAGATCAGCAATGGTAGAAAGAAAGGAGTGCTACATGGTATGTAGCAAAAAGGAGACTGAGAAATGGGGGCTAGAGCAGGAAATACAAAAAATGGGATAACTAATGGCTGCAGTTTGCAGAGAACACATACACTAAAAGCACAGAGAGAAAGGAGAGAGGGTAACAATAGAATAAAATACCGCTAAAAAACAAAAATGTGTTTGTGGTCTAGCTTTCTGGATGCATGCTCCAGTAACCTTGAGGCTGGACTACTGTAATTCACTTTACATGGGTCTGCCCTTGAAGACAACTTGGAAACTCCAGCATGCAGAACACTGTGGCTCAATTACTTTTAAGAGACAGGCTGAATAGGCATATTACACCTATGGTGCAGTTGCTCAGTGGTTACCCCTGAATTACAGAGTTCAAAGTACTGGTTATTACCAACAAAGTTCTTCTACTCCAAGGACCCAAATATCCACAGGAAGCCTCTCTTGATAATGCCCTGTTTCAGCATCCTTTGTTCATCTGAGTAAAGTCTTCTGAAGGTGCAACACCATAAATTGGTACGATAGACAGCTGCCCATATCTGAACATTCTCTGTTATGGCGCGCACCTGGAGGAATGGCTTGCCTGACAAGATACGAAAAACTCCTTCACTTTATCATTACACATTATGTGTAGAATGGAATTGTCCAGGACGGCATTTTTATAAAGTTAACAGAACTTCAGTTTTAATGCCTATGAATAAAGTTATGCAGTTTTTCTTGCATTATTTTTATTGTGTTGTCAAATGTTATGCACTGTATTATTATATTGTTTTACTGCATTTTTTGTTACTTATGCAACCTGCCTTGAGTCTCAGCAAGGAAGGCAGACTGTAAGTAATGTAAGTAAATAAATAATAAAATAAATAGCACATTAATAACACAAAAATTATTGTAACAATAAAGCATCATAAACAGCAGCACTGAAATCAACATTGTTGAAAGTACTATCAACTAAAAACCAGCCACAAGAAATTGCAAATTATCACTAATGGTCAGCAGTACAACGTGCAAGTTCCTTCTTCGAGTCTATGTTTAAAAGTACTGTAGCAGTCAAGTTAAGACAATGCAAAAGTGACCAGAAATGAAGCGTAAAAAGTAGTTTCAATCACTATATACTTAATAAAATCTGGCAAGGATCTTGTAGGAAAAGTGATAGGGATTCACAAAAATAAGCTCAAAGTACATTATCCTGTGCACAAGACACAATAAACTATGGAGAAATATAGATCATATTCAGCCAAAAGGCTGAACTGAAGGAGTCCTAAGCTTACATAGTACTAGGCTTTAACTGCTCTGTCAATAGTAGATACATCTCCCCTCCCCCACCCTGATGATGCACACAGTTGAGACAGCAAGAATTCCCCTGCCAAGGGTGTGCTGATTCAGCAGCAACAGAGATGACACAGGGTTTATAAGAAGTAATTGCAGTGGAGACTAAAGCAACTGCTTTACCATGCAGTGGAGACTGAAGCAACTGCTTTACCATGACATAGTGTGGAACAGGTTCCAGGGAATTTATTATTTTTAAATACCTGAAAGCATGCTATGTAAAAAGGAAAAAAATAAAAAGAAGGGAAAAAGAAAAAAAGAAAGAAAGAAAAGTAAAACTTTTATCTTGCTCCTAAGGAAAATTGAAGCATCCAGACTTTGGTTAAATTTTAAGAAAAACACTTTGAAGACTGTTAGACAATGGATTATGGACTTTCCTTAATTTCATATCAACAGGCATTATGTTTGTCCACTCAAAAGAAACTGTTTATATCTCTATAAGGAATGCTTCGTGTCATTGCCAAACTGAAGCTAGTCCACCAGCAGGTTGCATCAAGTTTCCAATCTCCGCACATTTCACTCTTCCTTCCTGTAGGCTCCCAACAACTCCCATGTATCTCTGACTTCTCTCTGCTACAACTTTCTGCTGTTTGAGTCTTGACAATTTCAGCACCAAGCACTGCAGCATTCAGCCTAAAGTGGACTTAATTGTACCTTTCCAACTTATGTTTTTACAATTTTAGGATGCATGCCTCTGCTAGGGACTGAGGAAGCCACATCTTGACTGTCACTGATCTTGACTGTTATACAAAGGTGCTTGCACTCTAAAATACAAGACGCAAACCAAATGTGACATTTTACACATGTATAGTTAGAAGTATACACTTAAGTGTCATGTGCACATGGTTAGACTCAGACCCGTTGCATGTGTATACACTATGCTAGCAGGGACCCCTGGATAAGGGGAGCATTCCCAGTTTCAGGATTTCAAATAGTGTGAAAAGACCACAGAAGAAAAAAGCTTCACAAAAGAAAACTTTTGACTACCTAGAAAAAGTAAAATACACTCAGACTAAAGTTTTGATACACTCTCCTACCCTACGTATCAATATCAACATTTTAATTTGTTGTCCATTTAGTTTCATTTCCACCACGGTGGGACAAGAAGTCTTGCACACACTGAGAAAAATGTACAACCCCAGAGAACATCATTTCTTTCTCTGAGCAAAAGAGAATATCCTGGATCAGGATTTCCAGCAGCAGCGCACTAAATCCCAGGTAGGATTCTACTGAATGGAGAAAATTCTGAAGCTAGATATGCTTTGTAGAATTTTTGGGCTGAAGCCAAAGCAAATTTACTTTATACTGGACAAAGATCCAGCCACACAGTGGCAAGTAAATAAAGGAAAGAGTAAAAAAAACCCAGGATTTTCAGGAGTGGCATCTGACTTGAGCCTCTATAGGCAACCCCTATGCATTCCCTACCGTACCTTGCCAAGGAGAGTTTCGATACCTTCTTTGTGGAAAATTAATAGAGAGTCAGTTTGGTGTAGTGGTTAAGAGTGGCAGACTCTAATTTGGGGAACCGGGTTTGATTCTCCACTCCTCCACATGCAGCCAGCCGGGTGACCTTGGGTCAGTCACAAGTTCTCTTAGAGCTATTATCTCAAGAGCAGTTCTCTCAGAGCTCTCTCAGCCCCACCTACCTCACAGAGTGTCTGTTCTGTTGTGGGGAGAAGAAGGGAAGGAGATTGTAAGCTACTCTTGAGACTCTGAGTGAAGGGCGGGGTATAAATCCAACTTCCTCCCTCTCCTCCTTCTTCTGTTTCTGAACACTTGGGTTCTGCTGACAGATTCCTTGAGGGACTTTGTAATGTCTAGGCACTACCTCTCTCTTTCATTAGGATGATACTAAGAGTCAGAAGAGGGCAAGGCTAATGCTTGTACTTAATGAAAAAAAGGAATTAATCTGTGGATGGACACAGAGACAGCTTTTCTAACACTTATGAGCACTCCTCTGTGTGTTTATTTATATTATGTATTGTTTGTTTTAAATACTTTATATATATATATTTGTATTTAAATGCTTTTTAATGTCAGAAATGTTTTAATATTTGCTGCCTTGGGAACCTTGAGTTGGGTGGGAAGGTGGCATAGCAGTTAAACAAATAAAAATAGGTCTTTGTGAAACTAAAACAGTAGTCTTGTTGGCTAGGAGAACCGGATTGAGAGATCTCATGTTGCTAAGGACCTAGAAACTAATAAGCAGTCAGTGAATGGATTTTAAAACAGGAATGTCTAGCCCTAAGACTTGAGCCTTAGAGAGCCTACTGAGATACTTAAGGTGTCAGCCTCCTGGAAAGAGAAAGGCACAGGTATAAGAGAAGTCACCTCCCATGTCCAACTACTACCTTGGGCTGTATATCTGAAGGGGGAAAAAGGGAAGGGGTTGGCTGCACT